GCCGCTTAGCACGCAGATAAGATAGCAAATCTTGGTGCCTCTCGAAAGCAAATATTGCTAAACTTTTTAAGTTCAGCAAACAGAAATGTCGCCAAATTGATATTTATTTTCGATTATGCTGGAAATTTTTTACAAAAAAAAGTCCTGTTTATTTTTACCCAACCCTTTTCCTCTATAAAAAGTAAAGGGAGCAACAGCTCGGACGGAAGTAAATCCGGCCGGAATTATTTATAAATGTTTTTTTCTCAAAGCTCGGAAGGTATGCATGGCCGTCTCGGTGCACGTTGCGTGGAGGAAATATTAAAATAACACTGTAAATTTTGAGTTCCGAGCGTGTGGTGCTTAAGCAGCGTGGCAATATAAAACACTTAATTGCGCGCTCATAACTCGCAGGTTTATTGTACAAAAGGGGAGAATTGTACAAAAATCACGCGAAAAATCTCGCAAAGATATTCCCGTTGGATGACGTCACGTTTTGTCAGCGGATTATTTATTATTCTATGCTCATTTCTCTTTGCAATTGATGTAGAAAGTTGTTTTGCGCCTCGAGTGAAGGAGCCAGTTTATTACACCTCGACTGCAGCAGGGAGCTTTTTGATATCAGACCTAAATACGAAACCGGCTGATGCTTTGCCACGCCTCGAATTGATACAAAAATAGAGTCGAAGCATCTCTCATTTGAAAAAAAGTGAAACTCCTTTTTAGCATAAAAAATTGACAAACGCTCCTTCTTTGGTCTGGTTTTTTTATGAAGAGATAATTGGCGAAGGAAAGAAAGTTCCAAAATTAGACCATTTAAAATCAAATTAATTTAATAACCCACATCATTAGGGAATCAAATATGAACGAAATCAATTTTCTCCCAAATCGGGCTGGACATTTTTCTATTTCAAAAGCTCAGGATCACAAAGTCATTAATTGCAACTTAAGGATCATTTTGATGATCAATGAATTGGGAGTAAAGTTTTAGAGAAAAGTTAATTTGGAAATTGAAACGCGTTAGTTTTTTTTCAAGGGAATTCAAGCTACTTTTTTAGCACTGCAATATCATTGATTTCTGTAAATAAATAGTTAATTTTATGGTTCTTATGATGCCTAATTAATGGAAAAATGTCATATTTTGCCAAATTCCAATATGGCCGCCGGAGATATAAAAAAGGGTTTATTAAACATTCTGCCAAATTAATTGATTTTCGTGGTTCTTCAACTTTTTAAGTGTTTCTAGTTTCTTTAAAGTGTCTTTGAATGACTGAAAATCAATAATCCCAGAAGAAATATCTGTTTAAAATTGATATTCGAAGGAACATGAATCACTTTGTTAGAGAAACTCTGGCAATTATTCTTGCTATAACTTTATTCGAAAATGTCTTGGCTGCGGTGACAAATTGTGTGGTCCTCTCGCGAATGAAATTTGCATTAGGCCTTGGTTTGTCTGCACGACTCGGGACCACCTAGTTGACAGATCGCCCTCGAAATGTATTCAAAACTATTTCTTCTTTCGTCTGGGAAAACATTCGAGGATTGCGTCGTCGAGCCATTAAGGCAGCCGCACGCCGACACGATAATTATTTTAATACTCACGCAGCTCTAATAGCAACAAATTTTAATGCGCGCCTAATTTATTGCTCCATAAAGAGGAGCCGGCCTAAAAGCTCCGCGCTCCCCTAGGCCCCCTCGTACATTACGCATAGAAATGTTTTTTATTTTGAACATACCAGCAGCTATTTTTTTTTCCGAAACTAAATCTCCCACGGTGTAAGCAGAATTAATAGTCGGACGGACTAAAGTAATTGCCGAGAGGGATTTTGGCGTATTTTTCGTATATAATATTCACGCGTAGGTGTAATTATTGCCGGTGTGGGTAGGGGTGGCGCAACCCCCGCATTAGGACTCGAAAAGTGCACGGCTTAATTAAAGCAGCCGTCATTTCTCCCCTCGAGTAAAACATGCAAGGAGGAAATTAATGCACTCTCTTTATTACTTCAAAGGGAAGCCGTTTTAATTTAAAATTCCGCACACTAACCTCGAATTAATCTCAATCAAAATTTAGCAATTTCATTCCGCATGAAATTTGTAATCCATCATTTATTTTGTCAGGTGCGTGCAATTAAAATTATTAAGCGGCTTTCCTTTTAAATTTTTGCAGAATATTATTTAAATATTTATAATAATATGAAATTAAATTTACAGTTTTTTGTTAATTTTTTTTTAAGCGGATCGCATTTGATGGAATTGATTTGATTCCCTCGAGTTTTGATTAATTTAAAAGGCAATATCGTTGTTCATTGGCCGGATAATGTGGAGAAATTGCCGGCGGATGTGTCTGTCCTCTCCGGTGATCGGAACTGCAGAGCCATTAGTCGCCGCCGAGTTCAGTTTCGATCTTTCTTTTTTGTTTTTATTTCAGGCTTTTTCAATTTGTTCCGAGCAAATCCGCGCGACCTGAATCGGTTCGAAAGTAGATCCGACGAAGCTGATAAAGTACAAAAAACAAGTACACGCCATTGTGACCAATGTTTGAAATGTTTTATTAGGCGAGTAATTACAAGTGGCCCGTGGGTTGAAGCAAGAGAAATAGTCCCGCGTCATTTCTAATAATTAATTCTCTCGCGGCGCGACTTCAAATGAGCAATAAAAAATGATGATTTGCGTTACGAGAGAAATCTCGCGTGCCCCGTAATTGATTTGCAAATATAATAAAAGTGAAATCCTTTCTTTCTTTCTTTCATTTGACGCAGAGGAAATTCGAGAGTAATTACGATTCGTTGACCTTTTTCAAACCGACTCTCCTCTTTAGTAGGCCAGCTTGCTAAAAAATAAAAAAAACTCACGCGGCCGCTTTTATCATCTAATGTGCGAAAAGCTCCGATTTTGATTACGTGGAATAAATTACACGCACCTTTATTCCCATGACATTTGATATTCGACTAATAAATTCAGTTTTTTTTCTTGTAAAATTTAACGACGGCCGCATTTCCAAATCGAAACGGAATCAATTTCAGCATTTAAATGATTTAGATTTTGCATTATTTATGTCGTCAGACAACAATTACCTGCGTGCAAAGGCGTCTATAAAATCATCGCAGCTTTCACCTGTTCTGCGGCCCCGTTTCATTTGATGGCCTCGCCCGATTGTCTCTGAAATTGAGTGCGACTGATTAAAAATGACGATAATCGACGCGCCAGGTGACAGAATTCGGGCCTTAAAGCTGAAATGAATGAGTCAATCTTTGGCGTGGGCGTTTAAACATAAAATAAAAACAAGCCAGGCGTGCAGAAAAGATTCTGGGTCACTTCCTCTTTGGCGGCGAGAGTGATTAACAACCTCTTTAAGAACGAGTTTGCTTTGGTTGTAAATTATTTTTTATTGTTATTTGCTTTTATCAGATGCATGCAAATCAATAAATAAATTCGGCGCGCTCCGCACCTGCAGGATCTCAAACAACTCGCTGATTGATATCTAACAATAAGGTCGGGAATAAATTTAAATTTGCACCGCTTCCATCATGATTTGAAGTAAATTCCGTTTTCGCCAGAAGCGTTTTGTCGACTTAAAATTTTTATCCATTTAATAAGTGTGACTTTATTTTAATTTACACATTTATATTAAAAGCAACATATAAAATAATTAGTATATTAAAAACGTTTTAAAGTATTTTGTCCAAATTTAATGTATTTTTTATGAATTAAATTTATACATTGATTAAATTAGAATGAAATCAAATTCAGTTTGAAACTCTTCATATTTTCCAAGTAAATTTAATACTCACTTTGTAATACATTCAAAATATGAGCATTTCCTGGTTTAACAAAACTCAATCATTGAAGTTTGAAGTCGTCATATCATTGGATAGGTCAATTTTTCTGATTATTAAAAATTTAATTGATAAATTATATAATTATTGATTGATTCTTTTATATCAAAAATTTAATTAAGTTGATAATTTTTAATGCTTAATAATCTATTTGGGCAGTATTTGCCGCAGACACTGAGCAACTATATAAAAAGTGGCCTTTATTTTTCAATTTGGAATTTTTTATGTTCAATATTGTTTTTTGTGCACAAAGGGAATGAAAATTGACATCACAGGGCGTTTTTAAAAAAATAATGAAATATCGATTGTGTGCGAAATAAATATTTCGCTACGAGTTGACAAGAGCAACTGACTTTTATCCTCTTGGCCCTTTTCCGCGTTTGTGCGGTTTTATGGGCGACGTGACCACCTTGCGGCTTGTTGATATTCCCGAAGCGTTGCCCGCACTCAAAGACGGACGGACAGACGCACTGCTCGCATTACACGCGCAGCCATCATATTATTTTAGCAGCCGGGGCAGGCCGAAATTTATGCAATCCTGGTTATTTGCATGCACAACCGCCGACCTTTTGCTTGCAGTCCAGACAAGCCGCGTGTGTGGAAAGCTTAATTGAATCTTGCGGCTGCAACGTCAAAGCATTTCACGCTCAAATGACGAGACGCTTATTTCAAATAAGCTCAAATAATCCTCTTTATTTAGGTTAATTCAATTAAATTGCTTTCAAACGCAATTAATTAAATTCAGAGTAATTAAATTAAGGAAAATTACCAACTTTTCATTGTTTACAATCCCATCAATTGAAGTGATTTGTTCTCTTTGGATGAAATGTACTTTTTATTCCGTTGCCATAATCCGAAAATACGAAAACAAAGCGTTTGTTGTTATGATCTGCAATAAACGTTGAAAATCGAGGCTAATAACGTTTTGATTTATTTTCAATTCGTCTCGTATTAATGGGCTGACAATGCAGCTCTTGGTATTATTGCCCATCACCATAATAAGCGTATAAAACGGCCTAAATGACTTTTGCCGCTTTATTGACTCAGGGGAAAGTTATTTTCTTTCACTTGAGCCATGAATAAGAAATTTATATGACACACAGCGAGCGGTTTTTAATATATAAATAATTTATTCGGAGGTTGAGAAAGGAATGCTAATTTTAATTTAATTGAAATTCGTTGCAGGTGCAGGATGGTGTGATCGGCGTTGTTGGCAGCTTTGCAAGTCGCGGCGCAATGAACCCCGCGCGATGCCCATCCAGTTATCAGCACAGAAGACTGCTCGAGCCCTGGTCCCACCTGGCCACGGCCCTGGTGCTGCTGCTGCTGCTGGTCGCGGCCAAGGGCGGCGCCTGGGTCGAGGACGCCCGGACCAAAGTCTACGTACAACTCGGTGAGTACAAATTTATAATAAAACAAAAGTAGAAAGATAAAATTCGAGAATAGCAAAAAACGTTATTGAATTTTTAAAAAGAATCAATAAAACAATTTAGTAATTTCTATAAGGAAACTTTTATCAAATTTATTGGTTTGCATAATTATGGACTTTGGCAGAAATTCCTGCAAAAATTTATGAAGTTAATAGACGCTAATTTGGCTACAAAATGCGTGACTCGCGCGTGTGGCAATCTCAAGGCTAAAGTTGAATTGCCTCTGAAAAGTTTTAGAGGTGCAAACAATTAAGTAATTTTTGTTACAAATTTGTCTGTAGCAAATAAATCTAAAACACTAAATCGTGCGGAAAATCTTCTTAGGTTTTTTTTTCAACAAAGCGTGGAGCGAGATTAAGGCAATTAAACGTGGGATTAGGATTGACAGCTTCTGTTTGGCCCGCCATTGCGAGTCCCGTTACTGCCGAGGCGAATTAAAGCGCATCATTCACAATCAACGCAGCCAAAAATGACACTTTTATATTTACATTCGGCAGGCCCACGCCTTCCTAACTGTTGTAAAAGCCAACGCGCGCACAATTAGAAAACCAAATTCGTCTGCGCAGTTAAAAGCGTTCTATAAATTACACCGGGGCAGGAAAAGGAAAAGGAAATCAAATACGTACGAGCTTTTATAAAAGCAAACATTCGTCTGTCACATTACGGAAATAAAAACCTGTGTAATTTTTTCAAATCATTTTGCATAAGTGAGGTGAACGGCCCAGACTGTGAGTCGGATTATGTTGTGACTGCGCTTTTTATTGTTCTGCGTAATGTCACTTCTTTTTTTCTTGTCCCGCTAATTCTGGCTTGAAAAAATTCGCACTCTCATGCCTCATTTTAATAATTCTGAAAGAAGTCGGAGCTACAAAAAAAGGAGACGCGCGTGGAGGGCGCTGACCTCGCGGGCCGTTCCCAGGCAGCAAAACAAACACACAGAGACGGCTCATTTGCAAATTCAAGAAGTTGCCGCCGCGTAATTTGATTCGGCCGGCTTCATTTGCCTCCAATTAAAAGTTGTTCCCTCGCAAAACTTGCTAATTCGCAAACTTTTCTTGTTAATGTGTCAACATTTTGGTAGCTTTTGCAACCAAAAAAAGGGAAAATAATTCGTAAAATAATTTTCAATTAATTTTTCATAAAAAATATCTTTAATTGATTATCATTCGAACCATTTTGGACTGAATTTTATGAGATAAATTTTGTAAAATTTGCTCGAGGAAATAATCGTACATAGGCACTCCCTATTGTGAAGTGCTTGATCAAAAGTCCTGCACTTTATTCATTGCCCGCGCCAAGGACAACGAGGTGTTTGCTCTGCTGGGCGAGCGAGCGAGCGATCGAGCGACATCCAGTCTCGAGCTCGCCTTTCTTTCTTCTTTTCGAACACCAGATTGACTCTGTACAAGAGGCAGGTGAATCATCCTGCTGCTGGGAAAAATAAAAAGCACCTGCACAACTCCAACTTCTTCTTCTTCTGCAGCGCTACCCACCATGCCATTAAATTTATATGTATTTCGTTCAGAGACAGGTCGGCCCTTTTTTGTCCGCGCCTATCACATGATCTGCGCCGAGCAAAATATTAAAAAGAAAAATAAAAAATTATCCAGTGCAGCCGAGAGGAGAAGGAGAAGTGGCCCCTCTTAATTTTTATACAACCGGCCAGGAAATTTAATATTTATGGTCAATTTAAGTTTGGTCCTCCCACGTGAATCACTTACAAAAGGTAACCGCTGCTGAGCAAAATAAATTCGCTTGAGGAGTTTAATTAATTTTTTCAAGGAAAAACTCTCACAGAACGCACAAGCCTGGATATTTTAGGAAAATTTCTCAATGTAGATAAATTCTAATAAAACTTTAATGGATTTGAAATAATTTCAGACTAATTGCAAACTATTAAAAGATTAAGTTCTTGCAAGAAAATGACCGTTTTTTTTATCGGCTGAGAGAAATCTGTGTGCTTATTTTGACGCGAAAAAGTGGAAGAACATACTTTTCTTTGGTTGCAACACTCGCTCGGCGTGTTCGGACTCGGCGCTGCAATTATTCACGCTTCACAGGCACCACGTAATTGCATAGTTTGCTGCGCGTGTTGTAAGGTTGCATAATCTGTAAGGGCCGAATGCAACCTGACGATTCTGCGCAGCCTCGAAATACATAACAAGGCAGGAGCATTGTGTGGTTGCGCGCAAAATCTCCTTGTAATTTGTGCCGGGTCACTTGTTCCGCCTCCGCCGCCGCAGCCGTCCCTCTACGGCTTCTTTTAACCAAATGTTTCTCTTCGGAGTCTCCCTTCTTGAACCGACCGGCGAGTTGCAAAAATTAGGCCACGGCAAGCAAAACACCCAAGAGTGGCTTAAAATTCTCAAAACTTTGAAAGTTTCAGTATTTCCTTTTAAATTTCACTCAATCTTAAAAAGTATTTAGTTAAATTAAGAGAAAATTTGAAATAAAAATATTTCTGAAATTTTGAATGGAAAAAGACAAATATTAATTCTTAACATAAGATCAAACTTGTTAATAAGCAAAAACTAAAAGATTTTTGCATTCCTTTTAAACTGTTTTTTTCTCGTGGAAAATCTGATTTTGACGTATTTTGAGCCCGGCATTTTTACATATATTTTATTATCCTTTTGACCTAGTTTTGCGCGCACCCCTCGAGCAGCCCCCGACGCTGCTGCATGCAATGTGTACACAATACACGTGTTGTGCGCGAAATGCAGCCGCGGCGAATGATACATTGCGTTGAAAGCATTTTGACGTTCGGTATGGAAACACCAAGAGCGAAGAGGGTTGGCAATTTATGGCCGCGATAATAATAACGCCGCCGTGCCACGCATCCATACACACAAACAACGGCGCAGACCAGGCTAATTAATAAATCAGCCTGCATTTCATTTGTGCATTTTGAACAGGATAAATCAACACACCTCTCGTATAAATTTTACTTTGGCGCAAAAAATAAACAGAGAGCTTTTTTTCCGGCGCAAAATTGGCTTTTCTTGAGTGACGAGTTGACGCGGCACAATAATATGCTTCTTTCGTCTCATTTCTTTCTGCCTTCGTGCAGCACAAAAGGCTTTTTGTGCGGCGCAGGGATCGAGCGCGCGGCGGGCTTGTATATCTGCATACACAACGGCCCATATTATATTATATGAAAAGGCAACGGAAACGACCGACTCGGCACACAACGCCGCTTGTGTATAAAGTACTATTGCGTGCGAAATCTTGCAGGAGTTATGTATAGACGGGGGTGCTGCAAGTTGGATAGGAGGAGGAATATTTCATTCCAAATAATGTACAGAGAGCGAGAGTGGAAGTTTATTTGTGCGACTGGTGCGCAGGTAGAAAAGGTATGAAACAGATTACGAGCTCGCGAGTAATGATAAAATATTGCACTTGGCAAAAAAGTTGCTCCAGAGAGAGGGAGGAAGATAAATTTCCATAACACAAGAGTATATAAAACGGTTTTGCTTCCACCTGGCTAGAGGCGCGCTCGAGTTCTACGAAGGAAATCAATAGGAACAAGCATGAATCTTGCCGAGGCCGAAATAACCGGGTCAGAAAAATAACAAGAAGAATTATTTTTCCAGACACACACGTGCTTATTTTCCCGGGAAAGAAAATTCGTTTCAATTTGTCACAGGCCCGCAGCAGCAGCGGGATTAATTTATAAATTTAGCCGGGGCTGGAATAATTTATGCAGATGTGAATTTATGCCAGACGCCGAGAAATTGAATTATTCTTGTAACGAGGCCTAAATATTCCGCAAATCTGCACCCTCGGGACCGGGAATTAGCCTGCATTAGGGTGTGGAAATAAAAATAACATTTATTTGCAGCTTAACGTGCTGAGCAATCCATCAAAGCGTGCACTTTTATCTATCCTAGAATGGGGAGGAGATCGTCGGATCCCCCGGTAATGACATTATTCAAATACGACTGAGCAAAAAAGACGAGTGATTCGGGGGTGACAGAGACACGCATGTTTTCATCGAGCTCATCACAATTCCCTCAACCTCGGCGTGTTCAGAACAGTTGTGGAAATATGACCTTTTTCGGAATTGCAATGTGAAATATGGAACAAGAAAATTGCCTCTGTTTTTCACTCGAAATGAAAATTCTATTTTGGCAGCCTTTTCCAATTTCCTTTCTTCCGACGTCATATACGTATTTTATTTTTAGTACGCTTGACATTTACCAGGAAAGAGTTTTCGTCGAAAAGGGCGCGACGATTGCGTCACGACATGTGCTGGGGGAACACCCGAGATCAATTTAACCGAATTTGTTTCTATTTGCATTAGGTGGAGCAACTTTCGCCAGGGGATGAGAGAAACGCTCGCTCCCTGCTCTCAAAAGAAGAGAGCGAGTGGCATTATCATTACCATCGGGGTTCGTTGGCAAAAAAAGAGCAATTCTTTCCAATCGGATTTCTCATCCCTTTCGTGCAAACCTGCCCTGCATTGGAAATCCTCCCCCGTATGCGAAAGGAACGAAAAGTATAATCAATCAATCGAGCTGCGAATTCGGGCCGAGGGAAAACGTATGTAAATCAACTGCTTTCCACACGTCAAATATTAGGTTTAAGACGCTGGGCAGGAAATTGCGCGCAACTGCTCCGAGCCCCAAGGCACACTATTTCTAACGACCCCTTTTTTAGAATAAAGAAAGAATTAGTTTTGCTTGATTTATTACGCACAACCGGATAAAATTGATTTTGCGCCCAGGAAATTTGATATGCAGAGTAATTTATACACAAAAAGGTATCAAAGAATTGTTATTTAAAGATGATGGGACCAACAATTATGAGGATAATTTTGTTTTGAACAAGCCAAAGATATCATTGATTTTTAAATAGTGTTGAAATTGGTCTGTTCGGGTGAGTTTAAAATTTAAAAAAAAAATGAGTATTTTTGCATCATATTTGAAACAAATTGAAAAAGGTTTCTGGTATTTAATTGAAA